GTCATCACACAACCTATCCTACCATGCAACAAGTTCCTATACCGATTATAGAGGATAACGATCTTGTCAAGAAATTCAAGAAGACCAAGGTCGAGATGAATGTATGGAAACTTCTAGCCACATCCCAAGAACATATGTTGGCGGTAATGAACGCCTTGGACAAAATAGTGATAGACTCCGAAACCACTCCTGAGGGGTTGGCTAACTTTCTCACAAGTGATATCCTTAGTTCCATCAACTTGATCACCTTTTCTAACAAGGATTTACCTCCGGAAGGTAACAAACATTACAAGGCTCTAAACCTCACAATAGTTTGCAAGAGAATGAATGTCCCAATGACTCTTGTAGATAATGGATCTGCAATTAATGTTTGTCCACTTAGAACTGCGAGGATGCTAGGAATAAGGGATGAAGATTTAACCCCATCAACGCAAGGAATAAGATCCTACGACAACACTCGTCGCCAAGCTCTTGGAAAGATTACAATGAACATAACGGTGGGAGCAATAGAACATGCCACTACTTTCCAAGTAGTGGATATTAAAGCTTCTTTTAACTTATTGTTGGGATGCCCTTGGATTCATGACCTTAAGGTGGTCCCTTCATCAACAAGTAAAGGCTATAGTTGAGGGATCCCTATTACAATCGATGCTTCGCCTATGAGGATTAAAGTTGTTGAAAATCCGATTATTAACATGGAGCACGATGAGAATGATGAAGATTTGTGGGGCTTTAATGAAGAGGTCTCCTTAATTGAAGAAGATGAAAGGATCCTTCTTTTCCATGACCCCCACTCTAATATGACGGTAAATGCTATTCTAAAAAAACAAGGACACTTTCCCGGAATGACTCTCAAAAAGAAAAAGGAGATAGCAAAACAAATGGAATTACCTGGCCTCCCAAAATTAGATACTTTCGGACTTGATTTCGAACCTACTCTAGAAGATCTAAAGCGAGTCCAGGAAAAGTCTGAGGCGTGTAGGAACGCTTGCACCCAAAAGAAAGCGATCCCAATGGACCAATATCCTCTTACACACAATGGACAATTTATAAGTTAAGGAAAGGACTATCCATGCCACGAATTTCCCGAGCCCGGCCCTTTGTTGTAAATGACATAAAGCAATTTGGGTTCAAAATCTTTCTGGATTGCTACTTTCTAGATGAAATCCCAAATCCTATTCACAAGGAGAAAGTACCCCAAGGACTTTAATGTCCTGGGAATCCTCTTTAGGCGCGAGAAGGATGAGCCAAAGTATATAAAGGACAACTCCTCGCTCATTTAAATGGTCTTACAAAGCGAGAACTTCGACCCTTCGAAGCTCATCACTCCAGCAGAGGGTTTAGTGCAAGGATGGCACAAGACAGTCAAGGTGACTACTCCGAGTGGAAGAAAGATCTCAATAACAACAGGACAAGGACCAATGTTTGAAGAGTCGTCTGAGTTAGAGTCAGAGTCAGAGTCTTTTCCTATAGAGTCTTCCAAATCCTTAGCTATAGCACCTTCTTCTTCTAATTCTTATATTTTAGCATCTACTCCTAGGATAGTTAGCAATCAAGTCCCAGAGGACATTTCTTTGTTTGATGTAATGATTTCTGAGTTTAATAATATGTCATCTTCCTCTTACTCCTCGTATTATTCCCTAACCCAAGATGACGAGCATTGCTTAACTAAAAATGTAAATGACAAAGAAATTATAAAAGCAATGGAAACACTTGAAAAGAAAACACCGGTAATTGAGGACATTAAAAAGGTTGATATCTCAAACGATCCAACCATTAAAAGAAAAGTTAAAATCGGATTAACACTTAATGAAGTTGAAAGAATCAATTTAATTAATCTACTTAAAGAATTTATCGATGTATTTGCTTGGTCATATGAAGATATGCAAGGTATTAATAGAGAAATAGCTCAACACACTATACCACTAATTCAAGGAATGAAACCTATAAAACAAAAGCTCCGTCGAATGAAACTCGACGTAGCTCGTAAAATAAAAGAAGAAGCTCAAAAGCAAATAACTGCAGGTTTTATCAAGGTGTCCAAATACCCAGAATAGGTAGCAAATGTGGTCCCAGTTCCAAAGAAGGATGGAAGGGTAAGAATGTTTGTCGATTTTTGAGATTTGAATAAGGCAAGTCCAAAGGATGACTTCCCTTTACCACACATCGACATCTTAGTAGAATAATACAGCGAATCACGCGTTTCTCTCGTTTATGGATGGATACGCAGGGTACAACCAGATTCTCATGGCGGAAGAAGACATGGAGAAAATGACATTTATAACACCTTGGGGTACTTATTGTTACACGGTAATGCCATTCGGGTTGAAAAATGCGGGTGCCACTTATTAACGAGCAGCAACTGCCCTACTCCATGATATGATGCACAAAGAGGTTGAAGTATATGTGGATGATATGATCTTAAAATCAAAAGATCACCAAGGACACCAGGTAGCCTTAAGAAAGTTCTTTGAAAGGCTAAGGAAATACAATATGAGGTTAAATCCATCAAAGTTCGTTTTTGGAGTCACCTTAGGCAAACTCTTGGGATATGTCATAAGCTCTACAGGAATAGAGATAGACCCAACCAAGATCAATGCAATCATGTCAATGCCACCGCCCAAAATCGAGAAACAAATTTGAGGATTTATTGGCCGATTGCAATACATAAGTAGGTTCATATCAAAGCTAACGATAATATGTTAAAGAAACTAAAAAAGAATGTGCCAGTAATATGGGACGATGAGTGTTAAAAAGCCTTTGAAAATATCAAAGCCTATCTCGCAAATCCTCCCGTATTAGCACCAGCCCTTCCAAGGATTCCTCTTAGGTTGTACTTAACTGTCACCAAAGAGACAATGGGGGCTATGCTTGCACAAGAAGTAGAAGGAAAAGAAAATGCAATCTACTACCTAAGCAAGAAAATGCTCGAGTATGAAGTACGCTACACACCGCTTGAGAAATTGTGCCTCGTATTAGTGTGGGCCACAACCAAGTTAAGACATTACATGCTCGTGCATATAGTCTTTATAGTTTCTCGAATGGATCCACTCAAGTACCTATTTGAGAAATCTACACTTAATGAGTGCATATCAAGGTGGATAGTCAACCTAGCCCAATTTGATGTGAGATTCATGCCTCAAAAGGTCATTAAAGGATCTGTGGTCTCGGACTTCTTAGCGGATTTCCTAATAGAAGATTCGACGGCAATACATGACAACAAATTTCCAGATGAAGACTTGGTTTTCACAGAAGATGATACTTGGACTTTGTACTTCGACGGAGCCTCAAACCAAAAGGGATGTGGCGTTGGAGTACTATTAGTATCACCTAAAGAAGAGCATGTTCCAATCTCCATAAAGTTAGATTTCGACGTTACCAACAACGCTGCTGAATACGAAGCATGCGTGGTAGGCCTAGAAACAGCTTTAGCATTGGGAGTGAATAAATTGCGAATTTTCGGAGACTCTTCTTTGATCATCAACTAAATTTCTAAATGATGAAAAGTAAGGAGTGAAAGTTTAGGCCCTTACCAAATATCTGGAAACTCTCACCAACTAGCTGGAAAAGGTAGAATACACGTATCTACCAAGAGAGGAAAACCAATTTGCCGATGCCTTGGCAAGACTAGCCTCAATGGTTAGGATTCCTATGGAAATCAAGCAAATGCCTTTAACCATAGAAAAAAGGCATAAACCGGCTTACATTCAAGCCATAGAAGACGATGAAGTGGTTTAAGATGAAGAAGAAGAAGAAGAAGAAGATTTATGGTATACATATATACTTAATTATGTCACCAAAGGAGAATATCCTTCTCATGCTGACAAAAGAGCAAAACGAGCATTAAGACTCTTGGCTTCCCGTGCTCATAACGAGTTACACAAAAGGGTACCTAAGAGTCGAGCTCTCTTATGTGTAGGGAAAAAGGAAGCCCAAAGAGCTATGAGGATAGTCCACGAAGGCGTTTGTGGAACTCATAGTAATGGCAAAATGCTAGTCCAAAAGATAATGCGAGAAGGGTATTATTGGACTACCATGAATAGGGACTGTCATCAATATGTAAAAAGATGCCCTTAATGTCAAATATATGCTAATTTGAAACATGTTCCTCCATCCCTACTCTACACCTACACCTCACCATGGCCATTTTCAACATGGGGAATTGATATCATCGGTAAAATTACCCCTATTGGGACAGGAGGTCACAAATACATTTTAGTAGCAATTGATTACTTCACGAAGTGGGTCGAAGCGCAGTCATATGCTAAACTCGCTGCAAAACATGTAGCACTCTTTATCGAAAGGAACATCATTTGTCGATATGGAGTCCCACATGAGATGATAAGTGACAATGGAACTTGATTTGGGTATTTTATACCCGGCCAGGTGGCCCAATCAGAAAGCGTCACGTGTCCTCCATATAGGTGCCATTCGGACCTATGGAATGATGACACGTGGAGGGTGGACTCTTCTCTATCCTACGCGGACTGAAGACCCAGCAGGGACCATTCAGGTGGCGACACGTGTCACTTAAAAGGTGCCTCAGAATCCTTTTGGGCTCAGTGACACATGTTATTCAAGCCTTAGCCCTGGGATGGCGGCCTTCAAAGGCCAAAATCCCGAGGCGCCGCAAAACGGCGTGACCTAATTCCTAAGTCACCAGATCCTAGGAGGGGCACACTTTTCAAAAGGACCCTATAAATAAGGACATTCTGGCATTTATGAGGAAAGAGATAATTTTACACCCAATACGAGACAATACGTCACTTATCACACCTTACCTGAGCTTGGAATCCGAGCAGATAACTTTATTTCCGCACGTTTTATTACCAAACGCTTACTAACTTAATCTTCGGAGGCAAACCACCGACCATCCGGCGGTCCGTTTGCCTTGCAGGTACAGGCGTCCTTGGTTGAATCCAGTTTCGGTGTTGTAACTCTCCCAAGGGACAAAAACCCCCGAAACATTTGGCGCCGTCTGTGGGGAGAGTACCTCTAAAATGGCTTCACAAGAACCTGTACCAAATCCAGAGGCCATTCGGCCTCCAAATTATATATTGGTCCAAACGGACCATGACTCAGGGGATGACGCTGACGTCGAAACCTATTTGGATCCAAATGGATCCCTCATCTCTAAACGCATCCGCAGTAAGGAAAGGCGAGAGCGTCACCATGACCAGGCAGGCCCAACCAAAACTATTGGTCAGCCAAAGAAGCCTTCGGGGCGGCCGGTTGATCCTTCCCAGGCAGCAGGATCAACTCCCGTCACTCGGGATGAGCTAATGTCACTCCTGAGCAGCCTCAGGGGTGAAATCAAGCAGCTCGCCTCAAAGAAGTCGCCTGCTCCTAGAAAGGAGCAGTCGGCCAAGAAGCCAGCCCAAGCTGGCAAACAAAAGTCGGTCAGGGACTGTCAGCCGACTCCTCATCCTGCTCCTAAGGAGAAGGCCATGCCCCAATTTGACCTTAATCGGTTCCGTTTCCCATAAACGGGCGCAAGAAAACCCATCCGGCACATACAGCCGGATGGTAGCAAGAAAACGTTCTCTAACGCTCGGCAATACATTGAGGAGAGGAGAACCCAGCAATCAGAGTCGGCTTTAACGTCGACTTATCATGATAGCTTTCGGAATACCTCTGTGAGGTGTTCCCAGTCTGTACATGAGACCCCACCAAGCAGCCAACGGGTTCGGTCTGGGCCTCATATGATTCAGTCCGCCCACTACATGGCACATCCATTGTACCAGGCGCCAGTTTTACCTTACATGCAACCTACCCTCTATGGAGGACAGGCGGCATACGGCTATCAGCCGATGGACTGGTAGCTTAGGCTGCAACACCTTGGAGATCAACCCTCTGCTTTCTCCAGGGAAATAACTGAAGCCGTACAGCCGGCTAAAGTTAAAAACATTCTGGTTGGAGCCTATGACAGGACCTCCAACCCTGAAGACCACCTGCTAGCATACACCTACCTCATGTATTTACAGGGGTCGGATGATGCCGCATGGTGTCGTTGCTTTCCAGCCACCCTGAAGGGCATAGCCTAGCAGTGGTTTGGCAATCTGCCGACTGGTTGCATAAATAGCTTCAAGACGCTTGCGTTCTTGTTTGCTTCAACATCCCTGCCAAAAAGATAAGTCTTGACTTGGGCAATGTACAGCAGGGAGAGAGAAGGCTTGCGTTCCTACGTCAGGCGGTTCAATCTGGTCGGAATCCAGATTCATGGGCTGTCTGATGAGTTCGCTTTCACAGACTTTTTTAAGGGTCTGAAGGACGGGTCTACTTTTAAGTACGAACTCGTCCGCAAACAAATCTTTACTCTACAAGGAGCCTTGCGAGAGGCGAAAGGCTACATACAGGCGACCGAACTCTTCTCCTCCAATAAGCAATCGGACCATAAGAAGTCCGACCGACAGAAGGAGAGTCGGCCTGCTCAGCCGGCTCTCAAGCCAGAAGAGAGCAAAAAGAAAAAGCAAGTCTGGGCCATTGATAACTCTTATCAACCTGCCAAGAAGAAGAAAAAGGAGTGGAAACCGTACGTCCTAAGGTACGAATTCCACAAGGAATGCTGCTCCATCCTCTTGGAAATTAAGGATCGGCTGACTCTTGAAAAGTCGACTCCTATGAAAGGTTCCGCTGAAAATCGGAACAAAAACGAGCATTGCCATTTCCATGAGGATGTTGGCCATGACACGAATGACTGCTTTAGTCTCAAGCGGGAGCTCGACTGTCTGGCCGACAAAGGACAGCTAAAGTCCTATGTGAAGTCCAAAGTGACTTCAAAAGCAAATCCGGGGCAGTCCAAGAAAAAGACTCCCCAGCTTGCTGTGAGTGCCGAAACTGATGAAGAACCGGTGTACACCATAGCAAGCGGATTTGCCGGTGGTGGCCCGACCATTCGGGGTACCAAGGACCATCTGAGAAAGATGGTCAACTCTGTTGAGGAGGGGGATGCAGCAAGCGCATCAACCTTCCCTAAAGTTGTCATCACCGAGCAGGACAAAGGCAAAGTCTGTCGGCCGCATGATGACCCTGTTGTTATTGAGTGCAAGGTCGCCAACCAGCTGGTTGACCGAATCCTGATTGACACAGGAAGCTCCTCTGACCTCATCAGCCTCAAATGCTTATCCAATCTCAAATACAAACCGGATAGCATGACGGAGGTCTCCCACACCCTTGTTGGGTTTGGGGGAGGACTTGTGAACCCAGTCGGACGAATTGATCTACCTGTCCGCCTGGGAAGTAGGGGAGACGGTCGGCACATGACCATCCATTTCCTAGTGGTTGAAGAGCTCACAGCTTACAGCCTTATCTTTGGCCGACCCACTCTTAACGAGTGTAAGGCCGTCATCATCCCCGCTCTCATGCTAGTCAAGTATGATAAGGATGATGGCACAGTTGGCTCCCTTAATGGGGACCAAAAGACGTCTCGAGAGTGTTACCTCTCGGACGTCAAGCCTGCGGTTGCAGCATCCGGCCGGGGCAAGCAAATGATTGACCTCGACGATGTCGAGGAAGAACAGTCGGCCCCACCAGCCTGAAAGAAAAGAAAGACTGATCAGCTGGTGGTGGTCAAAAAAGAAAAGCAATAGCAATCACTGACCGGGGAACGGTCGGATGATCTTCGTCCCCAGCCTGCTGGTGAACACATTGATATCCCTCTGGATGACAGCCATCTAGAGCGGACTGTTAAGGTGGGGACGATTGCGTTTGCAAAGCTGGGTGAAAGCCTTCACCAGCTGCTGAGGGAATTCAAAGACATCTTTGCCTTTGAAGTGGAGGAGATGCCAGGCATCAGCCCGGATCTTGCTGTCCACAAACTCGCCGTGAATCCTAAAAAGAAGCCCATCCGGAAAAAGAAAAGAAACCACGGCGAAGAAAGAAGTCAGGCGGCAGCTGCCGAAGTAAAAAAAGCTGTTAGACGCCAAGTTCATTCGGCCGTGCAATTTCCCTGAATGCGTAGCTAACGTTGTGTTAGTAAAAAAGCCGAATGGAACTTGGCGGATGTGTGTTGACTACACAGACCTCAACAAGGCATGTCCAAAGGATAGCTATCCATTGCCTAAGATCGACAGTCTGGTCGACTCAACAGCCGGACATGCGCTGATGAGTTTCATGGACGCCTATTCAGGTTTCCATCAGATCCCCCTGTGGAAAAAAGATCAAGAAAAGACGACATTCGTCACTGATCAGGGGTTGTTCTGTTATACGGTGATGCCGTTTGGTTTGAAGAATGCGCCTGCTACTTTCCAACGAATGATTAATACGGTCTTCATTAATCAAATCGGAAGGAATGTAGAGGCGTATATTGATGACATGATAGTCAAATCCAAACTACAGGCGGATCATCTTGCTGATCTCCGAGAAACATTTGCCACACTCAGGCGGCACAAGGTCATGCTTAACCCAAAAAAGTGTGTCTTTGGTGTTGAGTCTGGGAAGTTTCTCGGATTTTTGAGACCAAAGGGGAATAGAGGCCAACCCTGAGAAAATACAGGCGGTAATCGACATGCATTCGCCCCGTACTGTGAAGGAAGTTTAGAAACTAACAGGTTTTCTGGCGGCCCTGGGGAGATTCCTCAGTCGGTCAGGCGACAAGTGCCTCTACTTTTTCCAGGCAATCAAAAAGAAGACAAACTTTGCATGGGGGGATGATGCAGAGGCGGCCTTTCAAAAGCTGAAAACTCATCTGCACTCTTTGCCGAGGCTTGTCAACCCTTTTCCTAAAGAGAAGCTCTTCATGTACTTAGCCATCTCTGATCATGCCCTCAGTGCCGTTCTTTTAGCTGAAAGAGACGGCATCCAGCTCCCGGTGTATTTCATTAGCCATGTTCTGAGAAACGCGGAGCTTCGGTACCCCATGGTTGAGAAATTCGACCTTGCCCTTTACATGGCCATCAAGAAGCTTAAACCCTACTTCTTGGCGCATGCGGTAGAGGTATATACTGACCAACCGATCAAACGGCCACTCACAACCTTGGAGTCTTCTGGACGAATGCTCAAATGGGCGATTGAAATGCAAGGACTAGAAATCACTTACGAACCAAGGAAGGCAATAAAGGGACAAGCATTCGCTGACTTTATTGTCGAAATGATAAGGCCGGTTGTTCCGGACAATACAGACCAGGTTTTGAAAGTGTATGTGGATGGGAGCTCCACTGTGAACGGCTGTGGTGCAAGGATTATTTGTTAGTCTCCTGAAGGAGATAAGTACGAATATGCACTACGGTTCAAGTTCCAGGTCTCTAACAATGAGGCCGAGTATGAGGCCCTGCTGGCCGGCATCCGGTACTGCAAGGCGGCAGGGGCAAAGAAGATATCCGCCTGCTCTGATTCTCAACTGGTCGTACTCCAGGTTAATGGAACGTACGAGGCCACTCATCCGGCCATGATAAAATATTTGCAAGCGGTCAATAATGAAGTTGGGTCACTTCAAGAATTTCATCTAACTCAAGTTCCCAGGTCTTCAAACAATCAGGCGGATGCTCTGTCCAAACTGGCATCATCCGCCTCCTATGAAACGCCTCGGTCAGTTTTCTGGGAGGTCATGGAAAAAAGAAGTATATCTGAGGAAGACCCCATTGGAATTCTTGACCGAAGCTCAACCTGGATGGATAGCATCCGGGCCTATCTTGCAGACGGCACGCTCCCTGACTCACTACAGGAGGCGGCTGTTCTGAAAAAACGAGCAGCTAACTTCGAGTTGCGACAAGGCGAACTCTTCAGGGCTGGCTTTTTGAAATCCCTGTTGAAGTGTGTTACCCCTGAGAAGGGTAAGGAAGTCCTTGAAGAGAGTTGCATTCGGGATTCTGCGCCTCCCATATAGGCGGTAGATCCCTCGCGGCCAAGGCCAGGCGGCTTTACTTCTGGACAACTCTGGAGTCGAATGCCATGGAAATGGTGAAATAATGTGACAAGTGCCAAAAATTTGGCAAGCTCATCTATCGTCCGGCTACAGACCTGACGGCCATCCACAGCCCGATACCTTTTGCCAAATGGGGTATGGACATTCTAGGCCCATATACAACTGCACCAGGCGGCAAGCGCTATATATTGGTGGTTGTGGATTACTTTACCAAGTGGGTAGAGGCGGAGGCAATCAAAAACATCAAGACTAAAGATGTCATTTCCTTCATCTGGAGGAACATAATCACTCGTTTCGGGGTGCCCATGTCTATGGTTTTTGACAATGGTCCTCAATTTGAGACGCCTCAGCTCAAGACTTGGCTAGGAGACCAGGGGGTCTCAAGCTTCTTTGCATCAGTCGGCCGGCCGCAAGCAAACGGCCAGGTCGAAGCTTTCAACAAGTTAATCTCAGACGGGATTAAAAAGAAAATTGAGCGGGCTGGTGGCCTTTGGGCGAATGAATTACCACACGTCCTCTGGTCCATCAGAACGACTGCTAAAGGGGCAATTGGAGAAACCCCATTCCTTATGGTGTATGGAGCAGAAGTTGTTCTTCCCATTGAGCACTATGAGCCGACTCTTCGAATCATGTTGTGTGATGAAGAGGCGAACTGGGAGGCCATGCGCCTAGCATTGGGCTCACTTCTAGAGCGCAGGGGCAATGCTGCCTTGCGTCATGAGATATACCATCTGAGAATGACTCGGGCTTACAACAAAAGAGTACACAAGCGTCCTCTCAAAGTGGGGGTCTTTGTGCTACGGAAAATGGAGGCAGTCGGTAGGGCGAATGAGCAGGGAAAGCTAACCCCAAATTAGGAAGGCCCCTATCAAATCTATGAGGAAGTAAGAGACGGCACCTACCGCCTGGAAGACCTAGACGGCAGGCAGAACGTTTTTCCAATTTGAGCTCTAAACGTAAACTATTGACAAAAATGGTTGCGTGGCAAAACTATTTACCAAACTAAGCTTCCAGGGTAAATCGCTGTCTCGGACAGCGTTTTACCCCTGGTTTTTTTTTTAAAAAAAATTCAACTGGTAAACGCTGTCCCAGACAGCGTTTTACCTTCTGTATTTTTTTAAATTCAGTAGGGCATAAAACGCTGTCTCGGACAGCGTTTTATCCTTGGGTTTTTTTTTAAAAAAAAATTCAATGGGTAAAACGCTGTCCGAGACAGCGTTTTATGCCCTGTTTTTTTTTTTAACGTAGGTGCTAACGAGATTGGAGGTCCCCTGATTGTCCTCCAGGTACCTCACTTATTTCTGTACCAAAAAAACTATTTCACCACGCACTTACATATTTCATACTGAAGTTAGTTTTGTGTCTCTGTGTGCCAGTTCTGGGCTTGGGAGCATATCCATGTAGGCAGACCAGGCAGACCTGCGATACACCGTCGGGGGGAGCAGGACCAGGACGACCAGTACCAGGCGTACGATGCTCCCCCGCTCCCTACACCGGATGAGGCATATGGTTGCAGGTTCGATACAACTTTCATTGAGTTAGGCTTTATTTAATGCGCGGGGTTGTTAACTGAAACATTGTTCGATATTAGGTGGGTGGTACCCAGGCTGACACATGCTCATGCGGCGAGGGGTCTTCCGTATTACCGAGACGCCCTAGACCGACTCACCGAGGACCAGGTAACAATTTAAAATACAGTTTTAGCTTTTTTGTTTTAACATTGTACTTGTTGCGAACTAACATATTCATAATATTACTGTTGATGTGTATTTACAGGTGACATGGGACCCGTATGTACCTGACTTGGTAGATGCCATGCCTCCACATCTGCTAGACCATCAGGCGGAGTGGCGTGCTAGGGTCCCCCTGATCTGTTTCGAGGTTGTGGAGAGTCACCTGCCCGACCGAGTCATGAGGCAGTTTGGACTACGCCAGACTATCCCACAGGGGTGTGACACTAGTGTACAGCTTCACGGCATTGATCGTCGGGGAAAGGGGGAGACCAGCTGGGCGCTGGAGCATTGGCGTTTCCTTCAGCTATGGGAGCAACGGTTGGAGTTCATCGTTGGAGGTGATCTAATGCAGGGGGCTATGGATCCCGACGATCCGTACATGGTGTGGTACAGGCGTATCACACGACGCTTCATCAACCCCAGCTACGCACCACCATCCACACATTACCATCCAGCATATGACATCATTAGCGGATATGTGAGTTATTATTTTTCTACTCCTTTTCAACAATTTCCATATTTGTATGCCATAGATCTGACTGATCGATGATTACTGCAGGCGGCGGATATGGTGGCGATGGTTGATGCGCTATCAGTCTCCCTTGAGTGCGGACCCACTAGAGCCCAGGTCGAGCAGGTGCGAGATATGGGCGTCGCTACCTTACGGAGATATGGTCACGCTCATCTCGCCCACCGGCGGGACGGTCATGATGGCAACTCACAGTTCGATCTCGGCCAGAGCAGCGGTGGATGTGATCCTACGTCACCCAGACACGCAGAGGATTACAACATCCACAGTACTGCGCCCTCTGGTACCCAGGAGGACCCCTCGTCCAGTCAGCTGACTCCCCCACCGCCCCGAGACCCATTCACCACCGTCACTCATTACAGGCGGCGACGTGTCAGACGGAGGGCCGACACTCAGGAGGCAGGACCTTTACCCCGAATAAATGAGTCGGGCTAGTATTATCTGTTGTATTCCCTGTTATTTTGTGTAATGATGTACATAACACTTATGAAATTAATATAATAAATCTTTTTTGAATGACTCCGTGTGTGCTTTGAAGTTAATTTGGTGGTTGGACTGTTGTTGGGCTGTTTCGAGTTTTCTGCAGTGCTTAAAGTTGACGGAACTCCCAGAATATGGTGGTGGTACGTGGTGGGGAGTGGCGGAGTTGGTGGTCGACGGTGGTGGGGTAGGGCTGTGGAGCTGGCTGTTGTGGTGGCTGTTGGAGGACTGCAGCATGCAAGCTGTTTGCTGAAGCTTGTTTTCTGCCTGGATGCTGGTTGCTGTTTCCAGCAGAAAAGCGCTGTCTGAGACAGCGCTTTATGTTCAAGCATAAAGCGCTGTCTGAGACAGCGTTTTATGTTCAAGCATAAAGCGCTGTCTGAGACAGCGCTTTATGTTGAACATATAAAATAGTTGTAGTTGAATTTTTTTTTTAAAAAAAACCAGGGGTAAAACGCTGTCCGAGACAGCGATTTACCCTGGAAGCTTAGTTTGGTAAATAGTTTTGCCACGCAACCATTTTTGTCATTAGTTTACGTTTAGAGCTCAAATTGGAAAAACGTTCCGGCAGGCAGCTGCCTAGAACTTGGAATGTAGACAACTTGAAAAAGTACTACTTCTAAGTACGAATGTAAAGACCTCAAATTTGTAATCTCAAGTTTTGTTAATGAGAAGATGCCTTCATTTCCCAACTTGTCTTTTTATTTAAGTTTCTTAGTCTCACCTGTATACAATACAGACAACCAATACGTTTGGAGAGCTTCTATCCCAACAACAGGCGCCCTAATTCCTCTGAGGGAGTCGATTGTTTTAGAACAGTTGTCCCTACGAAATGTACAAAGTCAATATTGAGACTTAACAAATATTTACTCAACAATTTAAGAGGCCTAAGGCCAGATAAAATAATGATGAGGCCGATGGCCGGATATTAATAAACAAAAAGAGACCGAATGGTCACAGTCTTCTCCAACATGAGTATGACCGTCTGCTCCAACATGAGTTAGATAACCAGCGACGTCCATTCGGGCGAATTCTTCGAGGAGAAGCATCTCCCATTTGGGTGGCACATTGCTCTACAAATATAACAAGCGGCCCTACCGAATGCTAAGGCAGCATTCGCAGTCATTTGTTTTAATCGAAAGTGAAATCTAAAAGGCCTGAATTTTCTAAGTGATCTAGCACAGCTCGAAAATGGTCACTGTTTCATAAGTAGAGGCTAATGAGGCATTAGGCCGGATGCGCCTGTTTTTTCCTAGGCGCAAAGCAGGCAGAACATTCTTGTTAATATGCGAGTTAAGTTAACTACTTAAGCACCTAATGAGGCTTTTGGCTGGATAACGCCTGTTCTTTGCTTTTAGGGCAAGACAGGCGAACAAATCTTTTTAAAAGAACATTTGCTAAGTTATAAACTTATCTTATCTCAAAGAGGCCTATTGCCGGATGCGCCTGTTTTTAGCTCACAGGGCAAAACAGGCGGAAGTTTTCCTCTAGCAAAATTTGCTAAGTTAGAAATTTGAGTTTTGTTCGAGTCAATGGCCGAATGAAAACTTTAAGTTGCCTATTCTGGATGGACGTCTGCCGAGTGGTTTGGGGCAATCACCATAGTGATTGATTGACTTGGAAACCATGCATACTCTTCTAAGTATCAATAATTTCTAAAGTCAATCAATCCAACAAACCGAAACCACTCGACATCCGTCCAAGAGCAAGAACATTCGCATAGTATACAGGTTATAATACTTAGCCAAAAACATGCAATGAAAAATTCAAAAATACAAAGGACAACAATATGAATAACTTCAGCCAAATGGCCGAATGATTTAAATTTAATATACCAATCGCCATCAGACGACTGGTTAAGATTGTTTTGTGGAAAAGCCAGAGAAATTGTTAGAATACCCGACCCCTTGGTCGGTAAAGATACATCCATACTCGGCACGCAGGCCGAAAAATCAAAGTACATGGCCATTCGGCCGCAGAAAACATAAAAAGCTTAAGTGATAAGGGGAGAGCCTCTTCATTGGCAGTCGGCCTGTTGTCCTTCGGCTGCTCTTCCTCATTTTTCTCTTGGTCCTCCACCTGATCTTCCTCCTCGCCACCAGAGGACGACTCTTCAGAAGAGTCGGACCCAGAACTTTCCTCGGCCGCAGCATTCTCAGCCTCTTTAATAAGGCGAGCGTCGAATGCTTTGCTGGCTTCGTCAAACTTGGATTTCCAAGTCTGATAGTCTGAGTCCAGCTGCACAGCCGCCCAAGTGTCCCGCATGATGGCATCATAGTCGCTCATCATTTGCTTAACAAGAGCCTCTCTCTCTTGCTCAGCCACGGACTCAAACTTGGACTTCAGCTGATGCTCCTGGTTGCTGAGGCGTTGCTCCAGGCGGCCCACCTTCTACTTGCCTCTCTCGGCCTCTTCTTTGGCATCCTGAAGAGGCTCAAGCTTCTCCTTAAGATTTGTAATCTCTTTCTTAAGGGAAGTGATGCGCAGGCGGGCCGAGTCCAGGTCCTTCTTCACCTGCATATTGGCTTCCGCCTGCGAATACATCATATCAAGTGTCAGAAACTCATTCTGAGCAATAGCAAATTGAGCTCGATCCAAGGCGGACTCGGCCCAAGCTTTAGCGGCTGTTACCTCTTTGGACTTCTCCTTGAGGGGTTGCGTGAGCCCTTGGACGCGCAGCATGGCCTGCAAAAAGAGCCGAATGGTTAAAACAGGCGGATAAAGACTTGAGCAAAAAAAAAAAAAAAAAATAGAAAAGAATTGCTTAAGTTAAGACTCATACCTCGCAGAGGTTCCCCAAGATGCCATCCAAGTCCAGGGCGCTGACTCCTCTGAAAGACGCCTTGTCGTCAGGATCAATCGCCCTCAGCATGGACTTGGCCATCTGGATTACAGTTGGCCTCTACACAGGAACTGAGAAGGAAAGAAAGTTAGAAAAATAACACAAGTATATCTAAATGGAAGAACAATAAAGACGAATGGTTTTTACCGTCGTCCTTCAGTTCCTCCTCTCTCCCCAGACTCCTCCTCTCTCCTGCTGAGCCGACAGCAGCGGTGGGTTGCTTGAAGCCACCCTTCGATGCTCTCTGGGCATCCGGTTTGCTGATCTCCTTTTCAGCTTTGAGAGAAGAGGCGTCTGGGCCTTTCTTGGGCTTATGAGAAATGTGCTTCCGGCCGCCCTTGCCGGATGCGCTCACATCACCCGCCCTTGTCTTTTGGACCTTAGGCTCGGATGGTTTTGAAGGAGATTTGGAAGGCGCATCCTACATCAACACAAGATAAACGCAAGTTAGAAATCATTCGGGCAAATTTAATATTGGTCAGAAATGAAAGTATAACAATTTCCTACCTTGGGGGTGCCGCCAGTTTTCTGCTCATCCACGTTGGTGTGGGTGGTTGCTTCTGTCCTGTTTAGGACATTCGACCTGTATCGAGCAGCAGATACAGCCGGCTTCCTTGTGGCCGAGAGCTTCTCCATTGCTTTGTCTGCAAAAATGAACAAGTGTTAGCACCATTAAACAAGTACTGAAAAGAAAAAGTAAATTGCATAAAAATAGACGGCCGACTACCTCTCGGCATTTCAGAACTTAGCCCACAGGCGGCTAAGAATGTTCCTTCTTCAAACCACTTGTACAAAGGGAGATAGCATTGAGGGGTGACCTCCTTGTCCCCCTCATCATTCGTCCACACGGACACGGTAAACAACCCCGCGTCCATGATCTCCTCCTTTGCCCGCCTGGGAATAGGCGGCAAGGCGCTCCTGCCTGCTAGGAGAGCTGGATTCTTATTCCACCTATTATACTTTTGGTTCAGGCGGCTGTCGGCAGACTTGACTGGTAAAACTTAGTCCTCCTGTCTTTCCACTTGTTCTCTTTGCCAACAACCATTATGTACCCCTTGCAAGTGGTCAAGGTTTATCAGCCCCTAGCAGGCGCCCTGCTCATATAGTGCATGTGGGCGAACGCTTCAAAGCTCACCCCCACCTGCAGCATCTCACAGGCAGCAACGTACCCCAGAATATTAATCCAGGAGTTGGGTACAAGTTGTCAGATACCTAGTTGGTATCCGTCCAAGATCCCTTCCACGGCCGGATGGAGAGGGAAGCGGAGGCCAGCTTGGAAGGACGCTTCATAGCAGCCAAATGATTTGTCCTGATAGCTGGCCAGGCTCGGCCAGGTTATGGTGTCTCCCTCGTTAGGGACCGACAAAGTGTAGCCATAGCCTAGGACGACCTTGCGCCTAAAAGTGGCAAGGCCGGATGCCATGGAGCTCCGCCTGCCGGGCGGAACATGATGATAATAGGGGGCTCTTTCCAAGCCCCTGGAAGTGCTCGGCTCGGCCCAGCTTTCCCCCTTATCCACTGCCAGGGACTCTCTGGCAAAATCTATTTTTGATCTAGCCTCCTCTGAAGTTATGGAGGCATTCTCTGAAGAAGATGACGAGGCCGACTCGTCATGAGAGCTCTCATCAGAGCTAGGGGACCGCCGACTGGTGCCAACGGGGTCCTCCCCTAGACTCTCTTCCGGCGCCTGTCCAGAAGGCCCGGGTTGATATTCTTCATCCGCCTCCCCCAGGATTCCATCACTGGGAGTTCCACTAGATGTGGGCGAATGGTAATAGGTGGGGGTTGGAGGAAGATAAGAAGGGCTGTCAGGGTGTTGCGACAGCTCACTTCAAGGCACTCTTATTGAGCCGTCTGAATAAACAGTCGACCCGTCCGAATGGTAGAAAACTCCATCAGAGCTACACTGCCTTGCTGTTCTTTTGGTTCTGGCCATAGTGTCCTGCACAGACACGGAAACGGTCGGATTCGGAGAAGTTCGCAAAGCAGGGTCTTTGGCCAAGCATTCGGCACTGCTAGTTCTAGATTCAACCATCCCCGGTGACCGGCTGATCACTATCCTACGCCGTGCCGCATGCAATTGGGGAGCCATTTTTTCGAAAACAAAGAAAAAATGAAGAGTAAAAGAAAATACAAGCGTTACCTTTAGAAGAAGGGAGAAAGACGCTTGGTAGACTAAAGAACGGTCGGACTGTTGGCCGAGTGTCGGATGCTTGAAAAACGCTTAGGGAATTCTGAGATTCTTTAAGTCAAAAAGTCCAAGATTCTCCAAAGATTCGCAAAGGTGTGAATCCAAGGGGGGGGTCAAACCTCATTATTTATAGGGGGATAAAACCCTAATTTTTTCCCTCCATTAATTTTTGAATCTGACCACTCAGATACTGACACCTGTCACAGGAGTCACGTGCAATGCACGTGACCCCTGTGAGGGGAAAATGATTTGGGTATTTTATACCCGGCCAGGTGGCCCAATCAGGAAGCGCCACGTGTCCTCCATATAGGTGCCATTCGGACTTATGGAATGATGA